CGCAATATTTTATCAACATTGAATGAATGCGTTGAAGCGATCCACTGATAAAATTGCAACAAAAGCAATCAGTTAAATAAAAAATAAAAAACCGAATACAGACGGGTTAAGTCGAAGAAGTTGACTGACAGATACAGACTAATAAATGTGTATGTTCGAATGAATAATTAACAAGGAATAATTTCAAAAAGCGATAAAAGAATAAATGAAACAAAATTAAATCAATGCAAATGAATGTAAGTATAAATATAAATGTGCACAAATATAATCATCTCGAAATGAAGTGGAATTTACCATAGTATCTCGATAAAAGCAAAAATCTCGAATATCCAATATTTCCGGAAAAGTGAAGTGGTCACCCTGTTTGAATACGACCCCGGATGGGAGATACGTCACTCGCTCGACTCGCATTATCAAGGTCGATGGCAGCTGAAGCGTACAAAATTGAATGAGAATTTTTAAAAATCTTTTCTCAACAACCGAAAGTCTTTAAAGTTGGAAATTTTATAATGAGACAAATTCAGAATAAAACAGTGATTTATTTACTAACAGTTATCAACGAAGAACTCATTCAACAAATTGCATCAATCAGCTCATAATTATCACCACGATTCCACATCAATCAAATATGCAAATATTTCTTCAGTCATTTCAAATTAACCTTCTCAGAAAAGTGAAAAATATCAGCTAAATTAAAACGGAACAAGTGAACACTCCTTAACAGTTCCACTCCAGCTAAATTGCGGTACTAAAACGAAAGATGATTCAAATTAACGCCTAGTTACTACGGTGGCTAACTGTCATAATGGTTTTAATCGGCTCAATGAAAGCAACGTCAGACGGTTCGTCCGATCGTTTGCGGCAATGGCGATGAGCAATGATGAAATTAGAAATGGATACTGAACGAATAACCTTGCAAAATCCTTGTCTTTTAATGAGCCCACTCGATGTTTTATTCCTCAGTTCAACACAACGATCACACGATGCTCCTTGAATCACTTCAGCACCAAAAAATTTGCGCAATAACGATTCGATTGTAATTATCTGAAAAATCATCGTAAATTGTTTCATACTATTGTTCTTTAATTTCAAAGTGGAGAAACGATGAGCTTTTGAACACGTAACGAATCCATTTCCAAATTTTCTTCCTATCTCCCACAGATTGTATTACTTCTTGCCCCTTCCAATTGGTTGGAAAAGAAATTATTTGGCAAATCGTGATGGCAAACTACAAGGAAATCGATAAAATGTTTGAATCAAAGCAGACAGGGAAGTCAGAAAAAGGCCACAAATGGAAATTGAATTGATCGAGTTCTCACATGCAGTTGCAATATCAATGACAAAATAAAAAAGTGGACGTATTCTCAGAAATAAATCAAAATTACCATTCCCGCAAAACATTTCGGTATAGTCAGCGATAGAACGCAAAATTTGTCCTGTCGTAATTTCTGAAAGAACGGAAAAGACCACAATTAAAGCAAAATGAAAGTAAGCCAAACACAAAGGTGATCGACCAATGAAGAGGAGTATTACTTTCAAAGATTGGCATATGGCATTCGAAACAGAATCATTTGAATTCATTAAATAAGCAAAATCTAAGCATTGCTTTCTTACAAAAAATGTTCACTCTGAAGTGGAAAAGATAATTGAAAATGTGTACGACAGAAATTGAACTCAAAATGGGCATTAATATGATATGAGTTGTTTTCATCAAACCGTTCACCTTATATCCACATGACGGCTGACAGCATTGTAG